CAATGTCTCAATGTATCTATAGCTCCTCTGCAATTACTGTGGCATCTGTTAAAAATTTTTAAAAACCCTCCTCACACCTAAAGCACACAAGTTAATTCTTAGTCACTTGCAACCGAATTTAAATCAGTTTCTTTATTTTGTAGTAGCTTGGTTGAATCATGTAACAAGGGATACCACAAAGTAGAATTTGCAAGCTGCATCAGCAATGGCCTCAGCTGCAATACGGAAAGTACTTCCAGATGCACCTTTTAGGCTCGAAATGCTGTGTACTGGTGGCTTTATACATTGTACTTAGCTTACTGGTGAATCCTCTATTGTTCATGTGTCACTTGTATGCACACTTGTATAAATAATTATCAAAGATTTCTATTACAACATCATATATATTACATGATATTATCTCAGTGGTTTCAATGATGACAAGTTGTGTGGTTTGTTATTGGTAAGGTGGACGTCATTACCTGTCCAGAATATTGCAGTGGCCTTGCATATATCTTTTAGCAATTTCCCAAAGCAACCACAGACCCAACAGGTAGGTACCAGGTATCAGGTATCCTCCAGCAGCCTCTGTGCCCCAGCACTACTCCTCTCTGTAGAAGGAGGTGGGCCCAGGATGGAGCCAATATCCCTGTGAGAAAGTTGCATACACATAGCCAAATGGAGCAGCAGCAAGGAAAGTCCCCGAAAGTTAGAATGTCTTAACTCCCAAGCACACCTGAAAGGAAGAGGAGGAATTGGGAGGAAACAGAAGACTCTACTGCCTCCATCAAATTCCCCAGGCAAGATAGGCCCTAAAGGTACACCCCCACCCCCAGCCCTTTGTTTGGAAGTGCCTGCAGACATGAAACCTGAAGCCACATATTAGTCTTAACTAACGGTGCAGACTAGAAAGCCAAATGAGTTGAAGGTAGCTGATGGCAGAAGCAGAGGCAGCTGGCAAAAAGAAGACACAGATGCCTAAAACTAGAGGTACTACAACTTCTTTCTAGTACACCAAAATAGCTGCTGTACCATCGATGGAACCACAGGCCATAAAAGCTATAAGTGTAAAATGTATTCCTTGAAACACAGACATAACCTGACAGGCCATGGCCTGAGAGGCTGACTTGACCACTAAAGAAGCCAAACAGTCATTTCATCACCCATGAAGGAAAGAACATTTGAGACCCACAGGTGAAGTAACAAAGGCAGCAAGAGTGATGAAAAGAGTCCAAAAACACTGATCACTCAGCAAAGTTGTACACAGCAGTATCAGGCATGGAGGCAGGCACAGCAGACATAGCAGCCTGATCAAACACAGAAACCTGACAAAAGTCCCCATTTCTGGAAGTCTGAACAAGGGGACTGGCAGATAGGGACTCCGGGCTGCAATACCTGTCGATAATTCTGAGGATCACCATCTTCACTGAAGCCTGGTCTCTAACCAGGCCTCCTTGTTGGTGGTCTGGTCAATCTGGCTATTTGAAGTGGCTGTTTGCAGCCTGAAGTAAAAGTCACAGCTTGGTTGATCAGGTATCCTTTGAAGGTGTTATCCAATAGTAGTTGGGTGTTTCATGCTATCTGGTGGATTTGTTTTCGGTTTTGGATTGATCTCTGATCCCCAAATTCCTCTTGCCTCGGAAAGAGTCGGATTCTGATTGTGGCTCCTGGTCAGCTCGATTGGGTTTCAGAGGCCTGTTACTATTCCCCAAGGCGCCAGTGCTTTAGCTTGGGGAAGCTACTGAGGGGGGTTCTCACATTAAAAGCAAAATATCCAGAAATCCAGGTTAATTGCAAATCCTGATTAGGTGGGGATGCTAAGCCTCAAAATCATTGCAAGGTAACCACAAGGTAAGGTCCAGAATGATGTACAGTATTTCAAAGTTTAGAGCTGACACTAAGTCTGTGTCTTGGGTGCTTTACTGTTGTAATTAGGATAAAATGTAATAAGGATAAGAGTTGCTATGTCAGTGATTATTACAAGCTTAAGAATTGCAAAAAAGGTTTGTCTATATGTAGTCAAGAGTTGAAGCAATATTAAGAATGATTCATGTAGATTTAGTTAATACAATTAAGGAAATTGTTTCCTTGTGGTTTAGCTGATGGAGAGAAATTTGTGTAAAGATCACCAACTTATATTTGATAACTGTGATAACTATAAAGTTTACTGGTCAGTGATTATGGATTGAACATATATATATTCACCACTAGTCTAGCAATATCCAGACAATTATATACATAGTTAAATCATTACAGAATGCTCTCTACAACAATCTACTTGCATGTCATGCTAAACAAGATAAATTAAACATCAGAGTCAGATCCATTTTTAATGGCCTCACAAAATGTGACTGCCAAGTAATGCAGTAAAACAACAACAAAATATATTTACAGCAAATGAGTCATATTCTTCTGAAATTCTTTGTGCACAGTACTAGTTTCTCCATGTGTTCAGAGAGCAGTTTTTCATTATTATCCAAATGTTAAAATTTTTTGCAAAGATAATTTAAGTATACATTGAACACAAGCTAAAAGCACCGATTTTATTATTATTTCACATACTGTAACGGCTTTAAAACATTTTTTATTACTCATCGAGGACTGTATTCAAATTTGCAATTATGCAATATAGTAATTCAGTCTGTACATTAATTACATAAGTACTAGGCATACTACAAAATGTATACAGAGGAAGTGTCATATTACTGTGTAACTGTAGTAATCACTCACCAGGTTGTCTAGTCAAAGAGATCCAATGTTTGATAACAGTTACAGTACACGTTTTCGACATGTTTTGGGAACTGCACTTCTTTATCAAATAATTTAAAAAACTATTAATTTACTAAATTTCTCAGTGCTGCATTAATACACTAACATGAGTAACAAAAATTAAAAGTGTTAAATGTCTCAATTTTCAATATAATATACACTGGTAACATGCAGGGTGCCAATAATTAATTATTAACCAAAGAATTCATCTTTGGTTAGCAGATTTATAAAAAATAATACTTACAAGTGTAACTAAATAAAGTTTGTTGAATTACTGATGCACTTTCATTTCTCTATCAGTCTTTTAATTTATATCAGTGCAAATTATTAAGTGTTAACATCCCAAAGTAACTTTGAACAGAATTCCGGGTATGTTGCCATCAGTAAGTATTATGTCATTCAGTACCTTTGGTTCTTCTTAAAAAGTCATTTGATTTCCAGATTTTAGCAATTATATATGAAATTTAAGACATATCACTACAACCTCAAAGTATGTCACACAAGTATTTACCCAAGAAGGACATCAACACAGACCTGGGGCCAGATTCACAAAGCAGTTACGTAAGCACTTACGAACCCATGCATCTTTTCTCAACCTTTGTCGGCTTTGTTTACAATTATTAAACAGTTAATGAGCTCCGAAGTACCAGGTGGCTGTTATAATAATAATAACAACACTGATTGGGAAGTTTTCATGCTTCTAAACCGTTTAATAAAGGTAACCAAAGCCGTCAAAGATTGAGGAAAGATGTACACGTTCATAAGTACTTGCGTAACTGCTTCGTGAATCTGGCCCCAGAAGGTTAAGACTCTTTAACAAATGTCTTAGTGAATCAAATATGTCATGTTATAAAGTTTACCTTCAAGGATACACAGGATACATGTAGTTTCCAATACCCATTTTCAAGTTTAAACAAAAGTATTCCCTCTGCAATTTATTATATGCAAGTCTGACAAATTATATACTATGCCATTATGTAAATTAATGAGGTCAAAATTAATGTTGAAATTCAAGGAGGGGGAGAGCTTGACCCAAACAACTTCATTACAGTATGAACCAAAAAATGCTTTTAAAGGCTTATAACAAAATACAGCTTTACTCCAGGAGCAGGTTTTGTTGACGCTTCAAGAAGGGTCTTGTAAATACAAATTGAAGAACAAAATTTAAATATAAATGACATATGCAGAAATTGTCTTATGATCATAATGTTTTTGTCACATTTAACAATTCTGACCAATGCAACAAAACATCAATACTAAACATTAACTGTCAGACCTAAGGTAAACCTTCATCAGGACAACCATTTGCTCATGAAAACATCAATAAAACACCTTTGCTTACTTAACTCTGCACAATAAAACACCTTTGCTTTCTTAACTCTGCACATCACTTACACCTAAAAACATTTACATCACTACCCCTTGCATGTTTGTCTGCAAGTACTGTACACCTTTACTGTACAAGTAGTGTACACCTGTCCTAGTACTAAAATACTGTTGTCATTCTTCAGTAATCATATAATTTCTTGGTGTTAGAATTATCAGAGAACAACTATATACTTCAAATACAAATTTGCCGATGTTGAAAATGCCACACGGGTCTCGTAACATCTTAAAGACCTTTACGCCATTCCTCTCACAACATTAAATTCAAATGAAATACTCCTAAATTGTTCCCTAAATTTAGTACTTTATTTATTGTACTACCATGACCAAAAAAACAAATGATATGAATAATAAGGAAGGAATACTACATTATCATTCAAATAAGTTACTTTTACATTTCTAACAAAAATATTTCAATAAATATACTACCAGAGTACACTGACCAAAATAATGAACAAGAGAACTAAGATTTTAAATGTAATATTTTGTACCTCATAATTTTATTGTACTGTATATGTACATATATATTTATGTTACATTTGAAATTTATAGCATATACTGCTAAATAATAATATGTACATCTGTACATGTGTTGTCATTATTTATTTTTCATCAGAAATACTGTACCTATTTCAGTCTCAAAACTGCACAGTACATGGCAAAATACTCAACTGCATTTCATTATTATCTTACGAGTCTTTGGAACAAATTAAAAGGGTGAACACACCTGATTTTAATTTACATGAAAATCTGTTCATATATCTGCATCACCAGCAATAGCCATGGATGGTCTTTGTGTTTATTCATCTTAAAGTTGAAATACCCAGAAATCTATGTAAGCTTGACCTGTGTCTGAATCCTTTACACCGTTCTCTAAGAGTACTTCACAGCGATCAAGTAACATAAATGGGAAATATACAAAAGGTATGTGTGACTAAGTCTGAAATGTTACTACAGTATATGGGCCAAATATAAGAACACTATGTACATATATTAAATAATAATATTTGCCCATATGAGTGAAATCCTGTTAGCAAGTCTTGATGTAGCAAGCTTTGATTGTTTGTGCACGTCGTCATCTCGATGTATTCAAAACAGAAACCGGAATAAATTTTTGTAAATGTACCAACCCCATTGTTAAATTACACAGGGACAAATACCAAAGTGTCATGGACAGCACCTTATGTCCCAGCATAAATATCAGAATAATTTACTTGAAATACACGACTAAGGCAATTCGTTCACTGGGTATGCATGACTAATAATGAACTTAAAGAACAATGGAGTTTTTAATCTAATTATAAACCAGACAGTATTTCATAACTAAATCAAAAATTATATACATAATACATTCTCAGAGTCTCACACATATCGTGGAAGGAAGAGACCAAATTTTGATTCAATGCCTCTAAATATAGGAACAGCAACTTTGTATCCTCCAATATGTTCTGGGTTGGTTGAACGGAGATCTGCCGCTGTGGCAGGCAGCTGGGCTTCCGAGCTTGTAGGCCGGCTGAAAAAGTGAGACTATTATAGCAGAGTACTGTACTGTAATACTAAAATCGTCACATTTTATTATAAATCGTAAAAACAATATGAATACACGATGTAAACACTGTACCATAAACAATCCTGTTCATTTACATCAAACTATTTTTCTCGTTATATTGATCAATGGTAAGGATTCTCTGCCATGATATACTTTTGTTTTATTGCTTATTTACTTTACACATTTTCTTCATTATATTTTTACATGAACATACCTACACATTTCTACATGTGCATGTCAGTCAAGTTAAACACCATTGTGTCTGGCCAATAACTGAGTGGGTAACTGCAGGATGGCCATGGAGATAAGGCTGACTGTACTTTATGACTGAGCAACAGCCAGAAAAGCCTTAGTGCATGGCACCATGGGAAGGACAGATGTTTAAGAATGCTTTATTAAGCTTCGTAAATGTGAAACTAGAGACCAAAATATGTTAATTCCAGAGCAACCCTACAGAAGGTAATACCAATTGAGTAAAAGCTGTGCTGAGCAGTGAGGGGCCAAGTCAGGAACAGTACAAGAGGAAAAAATAAAGAAAATGACTGTTAAAGCACAAGATACCGCAAGATGATCTGCTAGGCCACTTGATGGGGCTCTATAGATGGTGCAGGGTTTTGACGGGTGCTCATGTTTGAACAACATCTTGTTCACCCATCATGAACAAGATGTTTGATACACTTAAGTTACTCAAAAAAATAACTAAGTAAAATCCTTAAAGTTCATATATAGTGCACATTTCCTCTCCTCAAATTTGCACATACTCAAAATGTTCAAAATATGAAAGTTAATTACATACTCTTAAGTCTTAGATGTCAACTTGGAATACACAAAAGAAATTAAAATAAAATAACTTGACAGTGTCAAGATAAAAATATAAACTTCTAAATACATACTTGCCACCAAAGTCAACATAGAACAATCTCTGCAAGATCTCATATGTTACAAGTGTTACGCCAAACTGAGGAGATGATCTGAACACTCGAACTGTTGAAGAAAATGCTTTTTATTGTACTTAAACTGATTTTACACAAGAAATCAATATATGGTATAGTATATATCAATGTTCAAGAACTGCAAATTATCACAGTACAGAAAAGAAACGGTTGCTTTAATTAAAAAGAGAGCCTTGAGTGTACAATTATAATTATAGCAGTATTTTTATATTATTTATACATACAAGAGTATTCTAAATCACAGAACTGAATGTTACATACTTTTGAACTTAAGATACCAAAACTGAATTAATAAGTTATATTTAAACCACATATTCTTAGATGGCGATGAATCAAAACAAAGCCAATCTTAATAGATTCCATGGCACATGGAAAGATTGAAAGAGGAGCAGAATTAAAGTTTAATTATCACAGCAGATTTCACGTTTTAGCTTGGATGCTTAGACTCAAATGTGTTGAATCCCTGCACAGCCCATTCTCATCATGTCAGAAGCATTCAATTTGCTCACTTTTAATGTACATACCTGTAGATACACAAAACCACATCAATCCACCTAAATTATTGAGGCTGATACTCATTAGTCATGAAAAGTGCACATTTCCAATGCTTTTATTATAAGTAAATAGCATTTAAGTTATATACATGTCTCTCAAGCATACAAAGAGGATGAATTAACATAACATCTCTACCAACCTCTGGAATAATCACTCGTGGGATAACACATCACTACCCTACATTTCGTCTGAGAAACATTACCAAACAACCAATAGAAACTATGAAGATTAACTTCAGACAGTACAACGAAGCCTTCTCAAACAACTCCCTTTTTAACCATTGGAAACAAACTTTGACAATGAACACAGATGCTCAGAAATTCAAACATAGGTGCGCACAGCCTCTGTTACCTCTCACTGCTAACGTCAACTAAACAAATTATTATAGAAAGGCTGAACTATATAGCTTACAAAAGGTATACTTCATTCAGCAAATACATGAATATGAGAAGTACATGAGAGGAATTGTTTCCAAATGAAACAAGAAAGGAGTACAGTACTCTGCAATGCTAAGATAATAAAACCAGCATTTAACGTAATGAAACGCCAGGTTTTGGGTGAGCCACGGTGGCTCCCTCAAGCTATCTTGCTGAGATGGCTCCCAACTACTAGATCATATTAGCCATGGTGTTCCATTTGGCCTACTGGGGACCAGAGCCAGAACATGGCCCTCTCACAGAGGCACAGGGAGTAGGTGGTACACTGCAACCTCACCGAGGAGGGCAACCATTAAGTCAACGAACAAATAAAGATCACTGCTGGATTCAAAGAGACCTAAGCCTCAAAACCCACCAAAACACACACTTCCAGCCATGTAAACAAACGATCGAGTCTTTCAAAACATGTGTGCACTCATTCGCCCAGCCCCTCCCATTTGTTTGATGAATGGGATAGGGGGGTTACACTGTCCACTGACCAACGCCATCTTTTTTTTTTTTTTTTGAGATATATACAAGAGTTGTTACATTCTTGTACAGCCACTAGTACGCGTAGCGTTTCGGGCAGGTCCCTGGAATACGATCCCCGCCGCGAAGAATCGTTGTTACAACCAAGTACACATTTTACTGTTGCGTTAAACAGAGGCTACAGTTAAGGATTTGCCCCCAGTAAATCCTCCCCGGCCAGGATACGAACCCATGACATAGCGCTCGCGGAACGCCAGGCGAGTGTCTTACCACTGCACCACGGAGACTGGTTAATCTGACCTATAGCAGATGCAAACACACAAAGTGCCCAACTGATGACCTTGAAGATAGTGGGGAATATCAGGAAGCCATCAGGGTTCACCCAAAAATTGGCACTTCATTACATTAAAACTCTGGATCTCACAGGAGATACTTGAATAGATCTGCCTGATCCACTGAAGAGGAGACCATAGAGGAAGGAAACCTGGAAAAATGTATCCAACAGGCTGAGAGTAATGTGGAAACAAACCTCTTTAGGGGTAAGCTGCATTAATATTAAACTCTCACAAGGAGAGGGGATATGAAAACCCCCTGCCCCCTAAAGCAAAAGGCACCTCATCAGAGGGAATGAATGCAAGCAGAACAGCCCCCAAAGCCACACCCTGCCCATGACAAAAACCAAGTGCGAGTGAGTCCACAAGTCATCATCCACAGGGGTCACTATCCAAGTCTGTCCAAGCCTTGGAAACCAAACACAAAGGCTCTGGGGCAGAACCAGAGTCCACACCCACTGGGAGAGAACAGCAGAGCCCAAATGAGAGGCTTCGGAGAAAGAGGTTGGCTGCAAGGAAGAAAACCCTGAAACCTCGGAAGGACTAGGGGACTCGACTGCCTCTACACCTGAAGTGGAAGGAGCAGCCCTGGAGAAAGCTGAGCTACATCCCGGGCTAAACCCTGCCCAAACTCCAAAACCTTCGGGCATTTCAGAGCCTGAAGAAAGGGGAGGAGGAAGGAGAACAGTAACTGTGTGTACCACACCCGAAGGGAAAGGAAGGAGTGCGGACAGACCCAAGGTGGAATTCACCAACACTTCCAATTCTGGGTTCCTAAAAACAAGACAGGCCAGCTCTGGGGCATCCAACTGGGCACATAAATGACACTGGATGAAGTGAACCTACAAAGTGGTAGCTGCCTGATATGCTTGATCATCATCAGGAGGGGCAGAGAGAAGAACCATATGGAGAAGAGCAAACCCCCACAGGATTCAGGGTTGTAGGTGTCCAACCTGTCCTCTTAAAAAGAACGTCGCTTTTGGCCGTTTGCCAGTATGGCCGAATATGGACGTAATTTGAAAATTAAAATAAATTTAAAATAAATTGGGGATTTTTTTTTTCAACAACAGTAAGATAAGGGTCCTCTGATAGGTTAGGTGGGCAGGAAATTCTCATAAAGTTTCAAAACGTTATGAAAAACGTAAATTGAAAGTTCGTCTTCAAAGCTGTCCGAGGAGAGCCGGACGACTCAAACAGAAAACGGAACAGTACGTCACTTTTGTGAGTCGATTTCATTAAAAATTACGTCCAAATTTGGCCGTAGTGAGCATACGAGCCAAAAGTGACGTTCTTTTTAAGAGGACGGGTTGAGGTGTCACCCGCTCAACAGGCAGCATGGCAGAGGAAGAAAAATGATCATTGCCCATGGCATGGATGACGAACAGCCCTCAAACTCACACAAGGCGAGACCAGGTTCAGAGGGGGATATCCACAAAGGGGGATTCCCAGAGCCAGAAGGACAAGCCAAGCAGGACACCTTGTCACTGGGAATGATCACCAATATTATAAAGTAAGCCAACAAAACCTAGTAATGCAGTTCTGAGGAGCCGACTTCTGCATACCATGTGACCAAAGAATGCGAACCACCAATGTGCCCCTAACCAACCAAAATGCTTGCTCCTGATCTCTTATCATCCAGTCCAAGTGGTTGGGCACCACTTGAGCTGGACAGTAGAGAGCGAGTCTCACTTCATGTAGATTGGCTTTTAATCCTTGACCGTCCAAGTAGTTGGGCACCGTTACTTCCCTCTGTCCCATCCCAAATCTTGACCCTGAGCCCTTTCAAGTGCTGTATAGTCATAATGGCTTGGCACTTTCTCCTGATAGTTCCTTCCTGACCTGGGGCCTAGACAAAGATGAAAAAAAACAAAAATAGCCTGTGACTTGCACACTACAAGCCAGGTTCACACAACACAAAACCAGAGAAAAACACGCATGAAGTAGAACTAAAACCAAGAACAATACCAAGCAAATGGCTCTCACAGGACAAAGTCCAAGGATAGCTGGAACTTAGCTTAGAAGCAGCATACTGACGACCAGGAGCCCTACAGTGGACATCCACACCAGTCTGCATCAGCAACTGAACTGGAGTAGTAGACAAGAGGGCACCCAGACTTTCAGGCCCCCCCCCCAACTAGTAAGGGGTTAGTGCTAGCTAATGAGCTCGTGCTTGTTTCAAGAGAGTCAACAGTTTAAGTAATTGGGGGAGTTTGCTTGGAAGTTTTTGATGCTTAGATCATTTTGAACCAAGCAGTGGTCTGTATTGGTTCACTGACTTTCAGGATGCTTTCCCAATGGAGTGACAGAATGTCACCTACTCTCTGTGCCTGTGAGGGGATATCCAAGTTCTGGCTCTGGTCCCCAGTAGGCCAAGCAGAACGTCACAGCTGATGTGGCCTAATAGTTGGGAGCCATCTCAGCAAGAAAGCTTCAGGGAGCCACAAGAGGTTCCCCACAGAAACTGATGTACATTGCCAAAAGCAGTGGAAACATGCTATGTATCAGCCACTTCAATAGTTCCTTTTCATTAACTGTAACAACCATTACAAATAAGATCCCAATATCTCAAATCAATGTAAATATATCTCAGGCATTTATTTACATTTATCAGGCATTATTTGTATATACACATATTCCTAACAAAGCGATTGGGAGGGTTTCCCAGAGAAAAACATAAACACGGAATGAAAATCATGAGTAAAATAAGGAATTTAACATAATAAATGCATTCACTTTTCTTACTTCCGGTTGAAGAAATGCATTTTTTAAAGTATCAAGCATTCCCAGGAAAAAATCGTTTATTAGTTCATGATGAACTACAGTACTGTATTAGAAAAATTAACTCGTGCAGATTAATGCAAAATCAGTAATTCATTTCAATTTGAATTACAGGTTAATTCAATGCCATCATAATGCAATATGTTGGGTTTGTTAACGCAGGTCACCCCCATCTGTGACTAAATAGAAGCAAAATTCAAACAAATAAATTATAAAAAAAAAAAACACTGAATGTAATGAAATGCATCTTACTGGTTGTGCCTCAGTGGCTCCCTGAAGCTAACTTGCTGAAGTAGCTCCACATGAGTCACATCAGTCCTAAGAGTCCGTATTGCCTACTGGAGACCAAACCAGAATCTGGCATCCCCCCTTACAGAGGTGCAGGGAGCAGATTATTAAGATTAAGATTATCGTCATCATCTTTACCCTCACTGGGAAAGCATCTAGAAAGTTGATGAAGA